GTAACCTTTAGAACACATGTACTTATTAAAAAAGTCTCTAAATGATGTTCTAACTAATCCTCTATAAAATTCAGTCAAGTAAAAAATACACAAATCCCTCCCTCGATACTCCCAGCTCATAAATTCAAAGAAAATTGAGTCATATACTTTAAATTTGGTTTTAAAAGTCTGCCGAAAAAAAGTTTCTAAAACCCAATTAACCTTCTTCTACAACAATTGTGGCATCTGTCTTTAAATGTCAAATGACTTCGTTTGCTACTTATGCACAATATAAAGTCACAATGTTAACAATATTTGTATTCTCAATAAAGTTACTGAATTAATGAAATAGTAATTAATTGATGTTGAAAGCACATTATATAATTGTTGACGACATTGTAGCATTTTCCAGATGTCACGTGTGATCAGGTGAAATATGGTGTGATTAGGTCAAATAGGTATCATAGGTAAAATAGCAAAACATTACAGGGGACTCCAAATTAAACTTCCACAATTTGTTGCAAATAAATATCAATTAAATGCAAAAAGTAAACATATGAAAAGTAAATTTATACCATAATTATGCCCCCGGATCGAAAGATCCCGGGGGTATATTGTTTTTGTCCTGTCTGTCTGTTTGTCTGTTTGTTTGTCTGTCTGTCTGTTGTCAACTTTAACCTTGCCCATAACTTTTGATTGGTTGGAGCTATGACTTTCATATTTCACTTGTATATTCCTTGTGACAAGACCTTTCTTTGGGTACCATCATATTTGACCTTTTGACCTTGACCTTGGAGTTTGACCCACTTTTGCAAAATTTTATGAGACTTTAACCTTGGCCATAACTTCTGAACAGTTGGAGCTTGGGGTTTCAAACTTCACATGTGTATTCTTTGTGACACGGCCTTCTTTTGGATACCAACCACTTTGACCTTTTGACCTTGAACTTGGACTTTGACCTACTTTTGAAAAACTTTAACCTTGGCCGTAACTTTTGAACAGTTGGTGCTTAGGGTTTCAAACTTCACATGTGTATTCCTTGTGACAAGACCTTCCTCTGGATATCAACCACTTTGACCCTTTTGACCTTGACCTAGGAGTTTGACCTACTTTTGAAAAACTTTAACCTTGGCCATAACTTTTGAATGGTTGGAGCTAGGGCTTTCATACTTCACATATGTAATCCTTGTGACAAGACCTTCCTTTGAATACCAACGACTTTGACCTTTTGACCTTGACCTAGGAGTTTGACCTACTTTTGAAAAACTTTAACCTTAGCCATAACTTTTGAATGGTTGATGCTAGGGCTTTCATACTTCACATATGTAATCCTTGTGACAAGACCTTCCTTTGGATACCAACCACTTTGACCCTTTGACCTTGAACTAGGAGTTTGACCTACTTTTGAAAAACTTTAACCTTGGCCATAACTTTTGAATGGTTGGTGCTAGGGCTTTCATACTTCACATATGTAATCCTTGTGACGAGATCTTCCTTTGGATACCAACCACTTTGACCTTGACCTTGACGCTTGACTTTTATTTTAAAAACTTTAACCTTCACCATAACTTTTGAACAGTTGTATCTAGGTCTTTCAAATTCCACAGGTGTTTTCCTCGAGACAAGATCTTTCTTTGGGTATCAACATTTTTTATCTTTTGGCCTGGATTTTGACTTGCATTTGAGAAACTTTAACCTTCAACATAAGCTGCCATATGGGGGCATAGTGTTTGACAAACACATCTTGTTTTCCTTCTTCTTTCAATCTCACTGATCTCCCTATCTTGATAGTTTCTAAGATTAATTCAGTCAACTGAATGATATCATGTAAGCTACTTTTCCAAACAATACAAAAAGTGAAAGTTTTTAACAGGAAGGATGATAGGATGATGCAGTCTTTAATCCTTTGAATTCTCCCTGGGGAAAAAAATCTCTATTGCCTGTATGATTTTTGTCAACCATTATTGTTGTTTTAGCAACAGAATTGTGGCAGACTTTTCTAGGGATTGTTGGAACCCTTCTAAAAAATCTGCTTGTCAAAAAAAAAAAGATTCAACTTGGATTTCCTGTTTTCTCAAACCTTCTTATGAAGAGCTTTATGATTTAGTTTCATGTGTTAAGGCAATTTCCAAAACTCATAAAAGATTTTTACAGTAATTAAGAATTGATGGGGGTTTACATTACAAAATGCTTATCAAATATCCATGTCATGTTCAAAGAAATTGATAACATGTTCAACATAAGCTCATCAATTATGTATCACTGGCAATGAAGCCATCATTTATAAAGCAATTAAACCAGTTTCCAGGACCCAGTTTTTCTCAAGCTGCCTCATCTGCAGAGGATATCCAAATTGGGGAAATCCCCTTCCATTTTCTGTGCCTCTCTTTAAATCAAACTTAAATGGCTCTGTGACATTTAGTTTTATTACCAAGTATATTGCTTTATTATCCCTGTGGAATCATTTACAAAGTACTGCTGACCCAGTGATTCTGACCTCTGTCAGATTTCACTAGATACGTCACATTGTCTGACTTTTGAAGATTAAAATTCAACACCTGATGTCTAAAGCACAATGAGAATCAAGTATCATTAAATTAACTTGTACTTTCATTTTTATTATAACAGTAACGATCTATCATTGAAAAATTATGCTTTTATGCAAAATTTGCTATAACAGTCAGAAAATATATCTGCACATGAATAATAAAGCATACAGACATCCTGCTAAGAGAATTCAGACAGCATCAAGATGAGATCAGCTGGTAAGCACAAGCCCTCCTGACCTATTCTGACCATTTCCTCCTGACCTAATACATTGACCATTTATTTCTTTTGACTGTTCTCCCTTGCCCTATATTCAATCCGTTTCTCGGTTACCAGGTGCTTGTATCTGAGGGTTAATTGTGCTGAAGTTCCACATGGCCAACACATTTCAGAGTCACTGCAAACTTTAGGTACAAAGTCATTCTGACAGTTTGTAACTGGGTCAGCAATGTTCAATAGGACCAAAACATGGAGAGAAATCGGTTATCATAACAAAAGATTGGGTTTTACTACCCCAGCATAAAGTACAGCAAACAAATCAAGCTGGTGCCGCACAATAGGACCAAGTGTGGATATTGAGTCACCCCGAGAAATCAGGTTACTGGATCAGTGTATGACAGTCAAATATTTACAAAGTGTGACTCTGCATAGGTGTACACCTGTGGCATTCCCTACCTCGTGAGCATTCCACACGTGTTATCTCAGTGCAATCTCGAGCATTCCACACCTCTAAACTCAGAATCATTGTACTAAATTCACTATGCAATCTCGAGCATTCCACATCTGTAAACTGACTCTTTGTACCTAAACTCATAACACTTGTCTGAATTTATTACCCTGATTATGTCAACAACACTCTCAATAGTGTTTTATCTCGGGGTTTGTTTGTTGACAAACTGCATTATGTACTTAGATATATATATATATATATATATACATTACTAACTGACATCCCTTTTACCCAGTCTTGTTCTTTATTATTGTTCTCTTGTTCTTCATATGAGCTATTATTATCCTTGGTATAAATTACAGATCTTCTATTTGACAATTTCTCTCAAAGATAACTCTTAAAATGTAGTCTGTTTCTGAACTAAATTCTAATTTGTAGTTGACAAGAACACATGCAAACTATTGTCAGCACAGAAGATTTCTAAGAAAACACCACCTATACAAGAGAAAAAAAAAATCTGTAGAGGTCTGTATGAAGTCAGGTTGTCTTCATAAGAATCTGTTCCCACACAGAGACCAATTTATTTGTCAGAACTTTGAAGCACGTATATCTAGTGAACAGGTGGTCAAAATCACCTGAAAAATCCCACTTTTCCAGGTGACCAATGATCTCAGTACTTGAGAAATGGAAAGTTTGATTCCTCCGGTCTCTTTCAGGCAACAGTGACCCAGAAAAGCAACATTCAACACAGTCTGAAATTGATTGTTTGATCACTGTTTGATCACTGTAGAGAACTTAAATTAGAATGTTCCTATTGTAGGTTAGGATCCATTCTTCTATACAAGGTCTTTGTTGGGGCCCCATTCTGAATACCGTACCAATATATTGACTCCTATGACACCCTGACTTACTTTTTACGGACCTACCGTGGTGGGGTTTAAGAACTTTAAATCTATTTTGAGAAAAATCAAACACATCCTAAAACAAGCTTTTGTTCCCTTTCTCTAAATAAATAACATTCATATTTAGCATGTTAGTCTGAGTCACATTGTAAGGGAAACAATGTTATGTAAAAGAGCATACTAGATTCTTCAGAAAAATCAATTCTCCATGAATCAGAAGATGTCACCATGGCAACAACTTACAACCAATTAGTTGCTGTGTATTTCCCACTTATTTTGCAAGTGATATGCAATGGGTCTTAGAATTATAGGAAATTTGTGTTCTGTCTATGGGTGGGGTTTAAGGTCTAGTCCCTCCATCCCATAGCTTCATCACATGTGTCACTCATAATAATAATATTTTAGATGTGTTTGAACCCAGGTTAGTGGGTCACTGTCCTACTGGCCCCTCCTCCCTGGTGTCTGACTGGCCCTGTGTGAAGGACCCTCAGCTTATATAACAACACTTCACTAGCAATCAATTTAGTATTCCTATTGGGAGATCCATACCAACAGAAAGCTCAAGGTTAATGCCCCCTGATAGATAGGAGGCTTACACAGTAGAGGCAGTGAGAGTTATGTACAAACCTGGTGCTATCACACTCAGGGTCAATGATTGATAGGGAAATGTCTCCTACAAAAAAATCACAGATGAACTAGTCACCCATCTAACTCACAAACTGTGCTTATATATATCATCTATATACTCGGAAAATCCTGTACTGCAGTGTATACTTTTTTCCCCTGAAATTTTCAGTGATGCAAACTATAAAATTAATACTCTTTTCCCACCCAAATTTCTTCTTGACAATGACCTAATAATATTCTTAGAGTATACATATCATATGTATCTATGTACATACCTATCTGTGGGGCCTGCTTGATCATCTGAGGAGTGATGTGCTCTACATAAGGCCCCGGGAAATACCCACAAATCTTCTGGTTTTGATTGTAACCAATCAGCCACCCCTTTGGATTTTGGATGTCATCATTGATTGGTTGTTTGACCTCCAGGATATCATCTTTGTCCAATGGGATGTCAGAGATTTCCTCCTCAGCCTCGTCCCCGTTTTCTTTGGGTACGTACTTGTACAGCGCTCGGTAGTATTCCACTCCATCCATTGTGCACAATTCTGGAAGCATTTTATCACTGGTTATACTAGTTAGGAATGGATACTTACATAAAAGTGGATACTACATAAAAGTGCAAGCTTTCTGTACAAATATGTATATGTATATATTTCATAATGATCTAAGACTTGATACTAATTGATGTCTGAAAAAAACAAGATGTGTTTGTTAAACACCCAAGTTGGTCAAGTTGTAATGTCAACAATAGTTCCTTGACATACTATTTACAATTATGGACAGAAAGATGTTGTATTCAATTACATCATATGTGTCATGCAGGCAATCCATTACTTTATTGAAATCCACATCTTTTGAGGACAAATGCTGATCCTGATAGAGTAGGTTTGTATGTAATGTGATCCTAATCAGGCACTGGTAGTTATTTATGTTTATTAATCTTAGACAGATTTACGCAGGGTCTTTGATCTAAGTTCACTCAAAAGGATATTTTTAAATAGAATATGCATGCCAGATGTGAGGAGTTTACCTACTATAGTTCAAAAGTTAAAGGCAATTAATCGTGTTATTATTATTATTTTTTTTTTTTTGCAGAAAGACAGACAGGACAAAAACATTTTTTCCCCGATCACAAAAATAGATTGACAAGTGTTAATCATTTCCATAATAAATGATATTCTAGATGTAATCTACTTGGAGTTACATGATCATTTACACATAACTTTCTGGAAAGAAATGCCAGGTTTCCTCTCTGGGTGATCTTAGGGCCAACCACCTATAGGTTGTCATCTTTTAGCTCCATTCAAGTCCATATTATAACCATAACTAAGCTAAGTAGCACTTTTACACATCTTATATTTCACATTCTAAACACTTTTCTTGTTTGATCTATGCACAAAATATACACAAAAAACATAAACCAGCTCCTCTAAAAATTATTCCATTCATCTTCAACCAGTCAACCATCTTCATCAAAAAATTAACTTCTTTAAAGAATTAAACAAATCTATTATCTTTACTCTCAAGAAAATTTAAATTTACAGTTCTTTTATATTTATTTCTTTATTAACAACTGAGCATAAATCTATCATAAGAAATAATCGGGATTACTTAGCTCAGACCCTATTATTAATAGCGTAAATTAGATCTAAATACTCTCCACAAGAATGTACAAAGAGAGGTAACTCTATCTGGTATCAACCCAAACCTTCCTTTTTCTTCAACCTTTTTTTTTGTAAACACGATGCAGGTGAATCAAATTGTGTGCATTTCATAAACAATTAATAATTATAAAAAACAAGACAACTTTCCATCAAACAAGATCTATAAGTGAGTCATTCAATAAGAACACTTGATGAGTTACACAAGATTAAATCAATGCCTGAATGATTTGTACGATTTACCGAGTAAAGCATGCTCCTATGTAAATGAAGAGAAGGTAATACGCAAAAACATCAGTCACCGAATTCCTCTTATCAAGCTATTATCCTTCCATGCATTCTCCGTGTATGAATAAATCAACAAGATCAAAAAAAAACATTTTTTAGATTTCTAACATTCAGACTTGATCTCCCTGATGATAACTTAATTTCTGAAGTAGAAATTTCTTTGACAGAAAATTTATGTAAGTCAGAAAAAAGTTCAATCATGTGTGTTATCTTAGATAGATAGGATAGTAGTTATTAGGAGTGATTGTGGGGAAAAGGGAGGGGGGGGGGGGGGAGGACACAGGCACATTATAATTATCAATAACAGTAGTCAAATACATGCATCAAAAACTCAAAATACATATAATGTATTTATACATTCACAACTCTTTCCTTCACAACTATGGTCACTACTTATTAAGGTTTTAAACATTTAAGCCAGGAGGCTCATGCACATTTATCAAATTATGACAATCTTAAAGGTTGCATCCTGAATGCTGGAGCCATAAATTCTATTTTGCCTACTTTATAATAAAGTTAACAGTGAAAAATTGGTCAATGGTGAAGTTCACCCGGTCAAGGTTGGTAGACCACGTATATAAGGAAAACTTGCATCATTCCTGCTAGATATCAAAGGGAATTCAAAGCTATATCTCTCATGGTTTAGAAAAATTAAGACAATTTGGATCCCCATCCCACCCCCCACACCCCAAAATGAGAAAGCAATATTATTACTGGTAGACAGTATCACTCTGCTTAGCAAGTACCCAGATAACTCCACATTGTACACGTGTAACTTTCACCACCCATCTTCATCAGACAAGGTTTCTGATCCGCCACTCTCCTCACAAACTCTTGGCCTATGATGCTAACAGAAGTCGGGATTGTTTATCAAGATGTCAAATCTTACTTCATTCGTACAGCTTGTGTCACAGACAGAAATAAAAACCCACTTTCAAATTTTAAGTATTTAAAGAATAATTAACAAGCGGTTATCGAGCGATGTTTATTTGTTATTTATAATGCAAATCTATATCTGAATGTCTGCAATAAGATAACATAATGTGGATGTCAACTTAAAAGTTGGATGATGCCATAGCTATTAAATATAGAAAGGCATTTTATCTTACAGATCATTGTTCATTCCCAAAACTATAGAGTCAAGAAATCTACTGATTGTCATTTACTATAGCACTCAGTGACTGGTCAAATGATATCAATTTACTCCAATCATAACTCAAGAAAAAAATCCAGATTTTTAATAGCACGATAGGCCAAGGGTTTGTCAATAGAGTAGTGGATCAGAAACCCTTGGCTAGTGAAGATAACCACCCAAGGATATAGTTATCAAAATGTTACTAATTTAAGGAAGCTTAAAATAATCTTTTTTTGCAAGTTGCTGACCCAAATTTCTAGAGTGAATATGTAGATTTCTTTTTCTTATAAAAATCAATTTTAGTTTATTACTTTACAAATTGGGTGATGCCAAGGTAATATTTTTCCTGCTGAGTTGATCATGACATATATATTGAATTAGTACAACTGATTAATAATTTTTCTAGATAATGTACCATATGTGGCTGTATGTGTCATGTCCAGTTTGATAGCTTGTAGTGTAATTGTTAGGGTAATGCCAATGTTTTTGTCAGATTCTATCTCCATGATTTTCACACAGCTGTAGCAGCAGTAACATCTCTCAGGGATATATTGATTTGATTAAAGCTTTTAAGGTCTTAGCCTCCAGTGATGTGTTTAAAAACAGTTTTATGAAAGATTACATAATCTACATTGTCATCTAAAAGTAAGTAGTGATTGGGAATGGCTTGCACCATCAACCATGCACCATAGTCTCAATGAAGTAAAAAATGGTGCATAAATCAACCATGGGCGATGCCTAGGTGTGCACTCAAATTTTAGCCATATCTGTTTGAAATTTTTTGTGCACAACTTTATTAATTGTTTTACTTTCATTTTAAATGCAGTCATTTTAATACTGTACAAAAAATCTCATGGGTTACACCCAATAAAAACTGCTTCCTATTACATGAAAAAAAAAAATATAACTTACATTTGCCACCCATATTAAGACATCCCTTCCAATCATTTTGAAATGCACAATATGCATTGAACCTTAAAAAACTTCTTTATCAGAAATGTGATCTTTTTTTAGCAAGAACTGGATTGATTTAGAAAGCACATCTTTGCTTGTTTGTGGATTTTATAAACCATTTCCTAGATACATTTTTCTCTTTTACAAGATGTTTTAAACACAGAATAACTAGTCCATTTTGAACTATCATCCTCAAATTCCCAACAGTCAGAGTCTACTTTGTCCTTTTGTTTAACATCTTGTGATTTATGATCACAGTTACAATTTATGTGAGGTAAATGTCTTATTAACAGTACAGGTTTGACCAAAGTACTTACATATGAAACTGTAACAAAAGTGGCAAAGAAAAAAGTTTCCATACATTTTTCACATATGCATAATAATTTATATATTTTCATGAAAACTACTCAATATGACTCAAAGCTCGCATATGATGTAAATCTACCAACTTAATATGCAAGCTGCTGAAACCTTAAAAAAATATGTGTGTCTTTCACACACATTATGAGGAATATATAACACTGTCTGCTTTAATCACACTAGACTTTGAAGCTGCATATGCCATATTGAACTTAATGGATGATTAGCAAATTTAGGAACCCAATACAGAACAAGAGGCCCATGGGCCTTGATGGTCACCTGAGTAACATAAGTCTCAGGCTCCAACCACTTTACCCCTACCTGGAACTGGCCTCATGTAACAAAATTTTTTTCAGTATGGTGAAGACACTGTTATAATTACATGTATGCTAAATATACAGGAGGAAAGAAGAAGATTTTTAAAGAATTTATGCATATGATCAATATAGCCTTGCCCTAACACCAGAACCTCTGACCCTTGGGCCATGGATTTCACAATTATGCTTATTATAATCATGCCGACAACTTGGCTGCTTGATGTCTAAAAATAAAGAAGAAGATTTAAGAAGAAAACAAGAGATGTTTGTGAAACACTTATCCCCCCCCCCCCCCCCAAATACTTGGAATTTTTCAAAATCCAAGGGGCATTACTCTGTCAAAAATTGCTCGATTGTACCAAAAACAGAACTTGACCTAGATATTTTTATGATAAATCTGCATACCAAATTTCATTTCAGTATTTGCAACCTCTGCGAAAAAATGAACGGAAACTGCAAATAATTGGAATTTTTCAAAGTCAAAGAAGGGGCATAACTCTGTCAAAAATTGCTTGATCGTACCCAAAACAAAATATGACCTAGATATTTCTATGATAAATCTGTATACCAAATTTCATTTCAGTATGTGCAACCTCTGCCAAGAAAATGAACGGAAACTGTTAGTGGACTGACAGACAGACAGACCAACTGACAGACAGCAGCAAAGCAATATGCCCTCCCTTCTTCGAAGGGGGGCATAAAGATTACATTAATTTTGATGGTTTTAGCCCCACCCCTCATGCCCCAGGGAGGCAGAGATCACAAAATTCACAATTCACCCTAACCCTAACCCTTTGCCCATAGATACTACACAGCGAAACTTGTCTAATCCCATCACCATTGCTTTCAGAGAAATTTGTCAGATTGGACACATTTCAGATTAGACAATATTTTGCTGAATACTGCTGAAAAGGACTACAGTTTTGATCATAATAGACAAGATTTTGGAATACACATCCAGATTTTTCTGTATATCAAAATTTTGATACAAATTAAGCCAATTAAATCACAGTGAATCTTTAGTGGAATAAATCCATATTCTGGAGAAACTGCAACTCAGTCATGTCAAATCAATAAATTTCAGGTAGATCTTTACCACTGCCAACTGGAAACTTTCACTCAGAACTGGGTGCAGGTAAACTTCTGGTAATGACTTGACTCTGTGGGTACAAACTGATTTGATAATGAGCTGTTTAGGACACAGACTAAACAGCTGATGAAATATGCACATCCATCTTGCCCACTTCTTATGGACTTGGGACACATAATAAATTTCAATGTCAGTACAGGATTAATCTATTTTCTATAAACTTTCCTAAAAATATTATTTAAAGGAGGACAAGCAGTAGTTATACTTTTATAATATGGAACTTTTTCCTCCTTGCACTACTAAAATACTTCAAACTATCTATACATTATTATAACATGAATCAGACGTGGATCCAGGAATTTAAGTTAGGGGGGTGCAAAAAGTAGGTAAGGGGACTGGGGGCCCCCAGTGGGTCCAAAGCGAAGCCCTGGTGGAGGCCCAGGGGGCGAAGCTCCTGGATTCTAGAGATTTTTTAGGGTAAAAATGAGGTCTACCGAGTAGACATTTTTACATTTTCTTGACGAAACTATGATTTGTACTATCTTTGACAATTTTAGGGGGGGCACCCGGTGCCCCCCCCCCCCCTTAAATCCGCCACTGTGAATCACTCACAAACTAATATTACAATATCATGTAGCATAATGTGACATCATAACATTAAAGAGTGACATCACAGTAGCCAATCAAATGCTCACCAGAGGTTCTCTAAAATAACAGAGAAACAAAAAAGAATCAGACTGTTTGAGGGTGATGAAATGGGAGAAATAACGATACTTATCATACTAACCTAATATTTTGAAGGACTGAATTCAAAAAATCGTTTTCTTTGTGCTCTTCCTCCTGGAGAATTTTATCCTTTGTATAATTACACAATTGGACCACTTGTTAGATACAAATTTAATTTCTTTTCACAAAGTAAAAACAAAATGGCTACATCAGTTTTAACACGAGTAGTATAAGTGACTTTTTTCTAAGAGAAATGCTACCGTCCACAAATTATAACAGAGTAAAATCGGGTTCAATTTCATTAAAAAGAAATATTTTTATCAGTCTGCATAGACACTGCAGATAAATAGTGTAAAGTGTAAAATACTTCCAGGAAAATGGCACAAAAATGAAAATCGGTGAACATTGTTTTAAGTGGACACTTTTATAATTTAGCAATACGGAAGAAAACATGGTATGTTTTCACTGACTAACATTTTAAAGGACTTCCCTGTTCCTCGGCTACTGAGGATGCAAGACCGTTTCCGTAACACCCTGTCCTGCAGTTAAGCAGTATTTACACTCTTTATAATATAAATTATCTATATATATGAAATTAAAAGTTTTTTGCTTAGTACCTGTTAAAACTTGCGGTCAAAGCACGGTTGGACTACACTCACACAAATCAGTTGACATGCAATCCGCCATAGCGAAGGGGAAGTGGTTTGACGTCACGAGACGTTGGACGAAGTTGTTTCCCTTGTTTGTCTGCATCTTGATGGCGCCAAAACTAAATCAAAGAATTAAATCAATAATAAACTATTAATGAAACTTCTGAAATAAGAGAGCCGTGGACAGAATATATAGAGGAAAAAACTTCTCAAGAACAAAATGGCGGCTGTTCAATAAATCAAATCAGTATTTTTTTCAACACCAGGCAGATTCAAGTTTCTGCAGCATGCATTTATAATTAAGCAGCGGATTTAAAACTTTTTTGTAATTAGTTCTTTTCCCATCCCAATTATTTTTAACCATGAGATACAAATTTGCAGCTTGTTAAACTTTTACAGGTGTTGTATTTTTTCTTAAGTTGATTTGCATTTTGCTCTTTTAACAGTTGTTTAATTTCTAAATTTTTGAATTATTTGTGCATAATTTTAGAGAGTGTTACTTTTATCTATTTGTTATGACGTTCTGCAGGTTCCATGCATTTCGCTCGGCCAAGTAAATCAAAATTAAGGACTACTGACCCTCTGCTCTAAATTTCACAATTTTTTTTTTAAACTTCCCATCATTGATTGTCATCAAGCATCAGATTCAAATCAAAAATAGTATGAGGTAGGAAGCACTGTTTATTTCTTCAGAAATGATTTTTATGTCAGAAATATATGAAGAAATTTTAACACAGAGAATAGAAAGAGTAATAATTTATTATCACAACATAAAATTAAAAATATGAGGTGTAATATGAAAATAATATTTAGTGTCATGAAGCGTTGCTTCCTGATTGAGTCAGAAGTCAGGCATGGATCCAGGAATTTTTTCCAGAGGGGGTCCATCCCAGTCAAAAAAAATTCCAACCCAAAAATTTCTTGACAAGCAAAAAAAAAAAAAAAAAAAAAAAAAAACACAACAAAAATACCAAAAAAACACAAACAAACAAAAAACAAAACAACAACACCAACAACAAAAACACACTTGGATGGAAAATGTAGGCGGGAATCGAGAGTAAGCGTGCGTAGTTCTTACAATAATAACAAAATTTGGCGGATTTAGGAATTTTCAAACTGTAAAGACAAGGAAGGAGTAAATGGGAAGAAGGAGTTTTTCCTCTTAAAAACAAAACATTTAATTTCTGCATTTCCTTGCAGGCAAATAATTTGGTAGCTTTTTTGACGCGGGAAAAGGGGTGGTGGGTTCACATACAACAAAAGAACAAACTTTTAGAAGGGTCTTGAGTAACATTTTTTGATATATGTATTTATACTAGAAATATATTACTGAAAATTATAATAACATAATTTTTGCATATAGTGTAAAATATCTAGCAATATCTTTCGGTGTTTCTTTTTACCCTAGGAAAAGTACCTCTATTTGTGAATTTTTATATGTGTCTTATGTAAATCGTTTTAATGGCTAATGTTAGATCTGTAAAAACATTCGTGGTAGTGACATGGGGGGGGGGGGGGGTCGTACATACTAAATTTCCAACAATTCATATCCTATACAGTAGTGCTCTCTCAATAAAGACGCCTGTGACTTTTTTTTTATTTTTTGTCAAGGGAATTATGTTGGGCTCCCCCCTCCCCTTCCCCCGCACTGAAATTGCTTTTCCTTGACTGAGATCAACTGTTTTTACATAGGGTAAAAGACCTTTATGATTTTTATTAGTATTTCTGATATAAATGCATATACCAACAAATATTACCCAAGATCCTACTAAAAGTCTCCCCCCATTTTTCTGGGTATATATAAGCCTTTAATCCCCCCCCCCCATCAGAAAATCTATTGAATTATTTGCCTGCAAGGAAATGTGGGAATTAGATGTTTTGTATTTAAGAGGGAATACTCTTTCCTCCTATTATTCCTTCCTTGCCTTCACTGTTTAAAAATTAAAAAATTTTGTAATTAAGGTTAATAAATCCTCTGCTCACTCATATAAAATGTTTCTTAAACTCTTATTTTTAAGACTTTATTATTTTTTAAGTAAAATACAAACAATTATAGCATAGCTTGCGGGGCAAAATTGGACAAAAAAGACCCTTCAACTTGACAAGATTATAAAGGAATAGACATATATATCATTAAGAATTGTCTCTCTTATCAGAGTATCGATGAAGCTTAATATTATTGTTATCTATCATAGGGTTTATTCAATTAAGCATGCGTATTAAAGATAACAAAACAGGCAATATCATCTACGAACAGTGTGCAGTTGGCAGTAAGCTGTGAGCAGTTGGCAGTAAGCAGTGAGCAGTTGACAGTAAGCAGTTGGCTGTCGTATATGGAATTCCATACAAATTCCTTTCTTTCCCTATCCCATGGAATTCCATATATACGACAACCAACTGCTTACTGCCAACTGCCGCGCATATTTGAATAAATTTTCATATTTATATAGATATTTATGTGAATTTTCATAAAACATTACTCATTGGGAAAACAAAGAGATGTAAGTCTTTAATTTGGTAAAACTTTGTTTTTCACTATAGAAATTAATGGAAAACAATTCAGTTGTTATGAATTGTTATTCCACAAAATCATACCATGTAAAGGTTTTGTTGTTTCACGGGGGGGGGGGGGGGGGGATGTGTTTAAAGACTAAAAACAGGAAAATAATCATGTGTTTAAAGACTAAAAACAGGAAAATAATCATTTTATTACCAATTTCAAATGAGATAACAAATAAAAAAATGTACTTTATCAATCTTATATGTTGAATTTTACATTAGTTAAACATACGGTGAGATTTAAGAGTCATTTCTCCATTTCCATGAGTATTTGAAGATCTGGTGATGTGTTCAGTCTGATTTAAATTGATAAAATTTTCTACCCTCTTATGAAAGGAGTGGTAAATAAGAGCAATTTAACTTTTTGACACTGGTTCTTAAAATTATCAATCCAAATACTAATGAACTTTTCTTTGCATTCAAACAAATTTTAATTCAATGGCCAAATTGCCATTTGTATTGAAATAAATGGATGTAAAATGGCGGAAATCGAGAGTTAGCGTGCGTAGTACTTAATAATAACAAAAAAATTGGCGGATCGAGGAATTTTAACAGTAGAGACGAGGAAGGAGTAAATCGGAAGAAGGAATATTTCCGCTAAAAACCAAAAGATTTAATTTCCACATTTCCTGCAGGCAATAATTTGGTAGCTTTTTTGACGCTGGGTGGGTGGGTGGTGGTGGTGGGGGTCACATAAATGTGCGACAAAGGAACCAACTTTTAGTAGGGTCTTGAGTAACATTTGTTGGTATATGTATTTATACTAGAAATATTACTGAAAATTATAATAACATAACTTTTGTCTTGTGTAAAATATCTAGCGATATTTGTCGGTGTTTCTTTTTACCCTACGAAAAGTACCTGTATTTGGGAATTTTTATATATGTCTTATGTAAATCGTTTTAATGGCTAATGTTAGATCTGTAAAAACATTCGTGGTGGTGGTGGTGGGGGGGGGGGGCGGCGTCCCCACTAAATTTCCAACATATACTATACAGTAGTGCTCCCTCAATAAAGACGCCTGTGACCTTTTTATCCCTTGTCAAGGGATTTATGTTGGGTTGTGCCCCCCCCCCCTTTTCCTGCACTGAAATTGCTTCCTTGCCTAAGATCAACTCTTTTAACATAGAGTAAAATGCCTTGTATTATGATATTTTATTAGTATTTCTGATATAAATGCACATACTAGCAAATATTACCCAAGATCCTATTAAAATGTTGTCCTCCCCCATATTTTCTGACGTATATAAGCTTTTAAACCCCCCACCCTCCCACCCCAAAAAGCCATTGAATTATTTGCCTGCAAGGAAATGTGGGAATTAGATGTTTAATTTGCATTTAAAAGGAAATACTCTTTCCTCCTTTTTATTCCTTTCTCGCCTTCACCGTTTAAAAATTCCTGAATCCGCCAATTTTCGTTATTACTGTAATCTATCATAGGGTTTATTTACATTAAGCATGCGTATTCAAGATATCAAAGATAACAAAACAGGCAATCTTTGAGCAGTGGCAATTGGCAGTAGGCACTGAGCTGTTGGCAGTAAGCAGTGAGCAGTTGGCAGTAAGCAGTGAACAGCTGGCGGTAAGCAGTGGCAATTGGCAGTAAGCAGTGGCAATTGGCAGTAAGCAGTGGCAATTGGCAGTAAGCAGTGAGCAGTTGGCAATAAGCAGTGAGCAGTTGGCAGTATAAGCAGTGAGCAGCTGGCAGTAAAAAAAAAACAAAAAACAAAAAAACCAAAAAAAAAACCCGTATAATTCATTTCCAAAACGTAAAAAACTCCTATTTAGTGGTGGTGATGGTGGGGTCCACGTTTTCTAGGGGGAATGGTGGTCCAAAGTCATTTTTTATTTGCTTCAGTATACTTTTACTAACTCTGCAAATTCCGGGGGGGGGGGGTTCCGGACCCCCCTCTAGATCCGCGCATGTATACAATGTTATATATGGTTGTAAGAAAAGAATACATCTGTTTGCAAGAGTTATCTTTCTTATAAATATTTCTTCATTGGAAAAAATATGTAATATTAATTAAAAAAAATTTATATTTGGTAGTTGATACATGAAACCAAAGGAAATACAAGGCAATGTTTCCATCATATATGTTATATTTGATCGATAACTACTCAGTGATCTCGATAATTAAACTCTGATCAAGTAAATTATGAGTTAATGTTACCACGAGGGGTATTCTCTTTAGAGAAGTGGACAGGCTTTCGCCTACATCTCTAAAGAGAATACAGGAGATGTTCAAAGTTTTACATTGGGATATACAATGTATAGACGATTTTTTTTTTTTTAAAAATCTGATGAAGAACAGCAGGATGACTATGTTTCATATAATCAAGTAAGTGAAGCCATGCATGGCGAATCTTCTTTCATGAACACGATTACGCCGGTAAAGTGTGGTGTCCCATGGGCCTTTTGTTTTAAATTTTAACAACCTGTTCTAGAGTATATACTAATTTGAATGTTAAGCTTAAAAATATTTTTCCTGCATGTGGTTCATATAGCTAATAACTT